CCCTGAGTACAGATTCCTCATTAGGACTATCAGATGTGTTGGCCTCCCATGTCTTTAAGTTCTATAGCCTTTCATGAGCTATGCAGTCAAAAGCTTTGCTATATCTATAAAGCACATGCTGATTTTCTTTTGGAACTCCCTGCTATGCTCCATTAGCCATCATGTATTTGCAGTGTGATCCCTGATGCCTCTTCCTTTCCTGAATCATGCTTGAACCTCTGGGATTTCTCTCTCCATGTGTGATTGGAGTCTATGTTGTAGAATTTTGAGCAGAATTTTGCTTGCGTGGGAGATTAGCGCTATGGTTCTATAATCTGCAATCTCTTGTGTCTCCTTTTTTGTGGATGAAGATGTATATTGATCGCTTCCAATCAATCGCTTTTCCATATCTGTTGACATATGTTGGTAGTACTAGAGCTGATTCTGTCAGTGTGGATTGCAACAGTTCTATTGGTATATCATCTGTTCCTGGAGTCGTGCTTTTTGCCATTTCTTTTATTGCAGCTTCCACCTCAGTTTTTAGAATTTGGGGTTCATCTTCATATGGCTCATTGCTCCATGTGTTCTTCATTTTGTCATCTGTTTTGTATAGATCTTCTGTGTATTCCATCCAATGTATTATTATTACTTCCTGGTCTTGATTTATGTTATTTTTATTGTTATAGAGTGGCCCGGTCCTTGGTTTGGACATTCATCTTACTTCTTGAATTTTGTGGAATAGTTCTCTCATTCTTCCGTTTTTGTTGTCATCTTCTATTTCTCTATATTTGTCATTGTAGTAATTTTCCTTATCTTTGTGCACTAGTCATTGTACTGTTGTGTTTGTGTTTCTTAGTTTATTCCTACCTCCTTATACCCTCATTAACCCTTAAAGCAATTGGTCACAGGTAAACTGCGTTACTTGCAACTTATTGCTTTTAACTCTGCAAGTACCTTGAAATACACATTCAAAACCCCAGAGTTAAATCTAGGTCTCACTAAGGGTGGATCTTTAGTGTAGAAATGATGTATCATGACACCACTTTAGGTGCTGTAGCTCCATCTTAAGGAATCCTGGGGTTTAGAGTTTTACAAAGTTGTCAGCCTTCCCTGCCAAAGAGAGGTAGTGCCTCACAAAACTAAAAATCCCAGGATTCTGTAGGAGGGAGCCATAGCAGTTAAAGTGATGTCAAACTGTGTTGTTTCTATGGTGTTGCTGCACCCTAATATGTAGGCATTAAAGTCAACAAGCAGTCAGAAACTAACAGAAATATTTTTAAGAGACCCTCAAACATGGTTCAGGTTGATACCTGTGATGCTGTGAGTTGGTGATTCCAAAGGCAGGAGGCCACCACAGATGTACTTGTGGCCCATGTAGGTAACAGGAGGTCTTATACTGTAGATCTCTGTGGATGAGCAGATTGATATGGGAGAAAATGCTCCCTATCATGAACAAGCTAGGCTCTCAGCTGAAGGTTGTTGTTTTTTGTTTTGTTTTGTTTTTTTGTTTTGTTTTTTGTTTTGTTTTGTTTTTTGGTCCAAACTGGAGAGGGATTATTTTTGTACATAGATTCTCAATCATCATCATATCAAAGGAACAATATCCGGAAGAGCAGTTCCATCTTTGTGTAACAGCAAAAACAACTGAGTTACAGAAACATAAGAAGCTGCTTTGTATTTAAAACTTATTCCATCTAGCCCAGTGCTGCCAGCTCTGACTGGAAGCAGTGGCTATCCAGGATTTCAGGCAGATTCTTTCTTAGTCCTACCTGGAGATCCTTGATATTATTCCCTGGTGAACTCCCCTTGTTGTTATTGTAGGCCTTTGAGGTGTCTTCAAATAATGACAACCCAATAGCAAATGTTTCACAAGGTTTTCTTGGCAAGATTTGTTCAGAAGGAGTTTGTCGTTACTCTGAGAGTGAGAGAATGTGATTTGCCCAAGATCAGCCAGTGCATTTCTGTGGCTAAGTGGGGATTTGAACTCACTGGAGATGTGATGCTGGACAAGAGTTCTACAGATACCATGGACTGCTAAAAAGACAAATAAATGGGCAAACCTAGAGCAAACCAAGCCTGAACTTTCTCTAGAAGCCAGGATGAATAAGCTGAGGATGTCATATTTTGGGCATATCACATAGCAATGTGACTCACTGAAAAAGATGATAATGCTTGGTAAAGTGGGAGGCAGTAGGAAAAGAGGAAGACCCTGTCTATCCAGCTGTAAAGCAATTTAAAAAGCCACAAAACTTGAGTTTCCAAGACTTGAGTAGGGCTGTTGATCACAGAGTCCTGGGGGTCTCTCATTCATAAAGCTGCCATAAGTCAAAAAGGCTATTAAGACGGATCTCTTCTGGCAGGCCTTCCCAGATTAATTATCCCAGCCTTGGGCTTCCCGGTCCCCTCTGGTTTTCTGGCCCCCTTAGGTTACCTGGCCCCCTTTTTCCTCTCATGGCCCCATCATTCTAATGGATGAGGAATGTTTTAGAGGTTGGCCGGGTTTTGTTTTGTGTTGTTTGTTTATGAATGTTTTTATAAATGTTTTGATTATTTTAATTATGAGATGTTTAATACTGTTTTAAGGGGGGGTTGGTCTTAGGGTTATATTGTATGGGTTTTTATGTAAGCCGCTTGGATTGTCTTTTTCAATAAGCGGGATATAAATTATTATTATTATTATTATTATTAGTCAAAGTCAACTTGACAGCAAATAACAACAGAATCCCTCTGTCAGAGCAATACAGTATAAATTTGGACGTGTTATTTCAGACCAGGAGAGGGGAACGTGGCCCACCAGATGTTGTTGGACTACAGCTCTCATCATCCCTTACCATTGGCCATGCCAGCTGGGGCTGATGAGAGTCCAACTACATCTGGAAGGCTACCAGTTCCTTCTCCATGCTCTAGAGACCACTGATAAATAGGCTAAAAAAAGCTTAACATGAGCCAAATTCCACAGTCAGCCCTCTGGATTTGTATGAAATGAAATATTAATGCTTTTCCATTGAAATCTCCTGCTAAAGAAGGATAATCTTACAGCCTCTGCTAACATCTTTATGAGAGTGTGCTAATCCTATTCTACAGAGACAAATTGGGATATATAATTTGATTGATTTATTTCGCTTCCAGCCTTGTTCTCCCCCAGGAGACCACACTAGGCTATATTCATTCTGCAAAAGGCAGATAACTCTTAGTCTGTCTGTAGCACTGGTGTAGCCCCATTGCCAGAGGGGCAAAACACGTCACAAATGGGCAATTACTGTTCCAGCGATCTTCCTCTGCACCTGTAGGAAGGTTGGAAGTGGAACCAGTTCACTAAAGCAGCTGTGTGTGTGTGTGTGTGTGTGTTCAAAAGGAGCTGAGTAAAAGCAGTGTGGCTCAGGAGAGGAAAGCAGTTCTTGGATCAGAAGGTGTTATTGCTTCAAAATAGGGTGGGCAAGTGTGGCTGCTGTTGGGCCTTTTGCTGTTGTTGTTCCTGGGACCACTGGGGAATAGAGAGATTGCAAAAAAAGCAACTCCCCCTCTTGAGAAAAAAACAACAACAGATGTCCACTTCTGGAGCCATTTCACAGTCCAGAAATACAGCACTTTCATTCCACAGTCCAGAAATACAGCACTATGATTCCACTTTAACTATCTCAGGAGCCTTCCATGGAATCCTGGGTCTTGTAGTTTGGTCAGAGGCACCAGAGGAGCTCTCTGGCCAAGAATTCTAAAGGCCACTCTCTAAACTGCAAACCTCATCAATCCACAAAGTGGGGCCAGGTCAGTTATGATAGAATCATAGGGTGCATATACACTATAGAATTAATGCAGTTTGACACCACTTTAGTGCTGTGCCTCCATCCTATAGAATCCTAGGGTTTGTAGTTTTACAAGGACTTTAGTACTCTCTTCCAAAGACTACTGGTGCCTCACAAAATTACAAATACCAGGATTCTGTAGAATGGAGTCATGTCAGTTAAAAGCAGTGTGAAACTGCATTATTACTACAGTGCAGATGCACCCATATTGCCATAACTGTGCAATGTGAAAGGACTCTGGTGTTTTACAGAATTTTATACAGTGAGTTGATTTGAACATTGTAACATTATATATATTTCATTTATACTAAATGACTTCCTTTAGTCTACTTAGTTATTAAAGTAATTATAGAAAAAAAGTAACAATTCCCCTGTTATTTTATTTTGTTCTGTGACGGTCTAACATAAAGTTTTATATTGACTTTGAGCTGTTTCAAGGCTTTCATGTACCCTTTGTGGTGTTTTATTACCACCTTTTTTTTACAGAAATTGTGCCATAACTGTGCAGTATGAACGGGCCCTGGTTTCAAAGACAGAATACTAAACAGTGTGCATGGGAGAGGGGACAACCTTTTTAAAGGTGAGCTGTTGCTCCTGAAAGCTTCAAGAGAGACAATTAGTTTGGGTGGGGATCTGAAGAAGATGATCCAGGGAGCCTGGAAGGGTTGATGGCTGAAAATATAGCTGTGGGAAGCTCATGAAGCCCCAAGACTGCATACATCCCCCACCCCTATTTTAGGACAAGCCTTTGCTTCTGTGCCTGTTCTGTAGTGCTTGCTCAGCCTCCATATTGTACCAATCCTGTTGCACAAGTGACTTGAGTCCTCTGAGTACTTTCTTCTAACAGAAACAGAGTTTGTAAAGGTCATTGGTGGGAAAGTTTCTGCCCTCTTGTACTGTGGTCTGCAGCTCCTAAAATCCACTGGCTATGCTGGATGGAGCTGATGGGAGCTGCAGGTCAAAATAGCTGGATGGCTTGAATATCTTTGGTTCAACAGGATTTTTTAATATTTAGGTGAAGTCTGAAGGAAGGATATAGATAGATTCACAAATTGTTGCTGCTGTTGTGCCTCAAATTGTCTCTGACTTATGGCAACCCTGAAGTGACCAATCACAGTGTTTTCTTGGGCTGTTTCTCCAGAAGAGGATTGCCATTGCCATTGCCATCCTCTGAGGCTGAGAGAGTGTGATTTCCTTAAAGACACCTAGTGGGTTTCATGGTCGAGCTGGGAATTGAACCCTGGCCTCCAGAGTCATAGTCCAATGCTCAAACCACTATACCATGCTAAGCCTCAGATTCACAGACATATGGTCATAAAACTCTTACTTAGCTGTCACTATTAGTACAGTGCTTGGCAGTGCTCTTGGCAAATATGCCAACCCTTTTTCCCCCAGCAGTATCTGTACATTGGGGAGCACATAGTTTGGGTAGCCTTGTTCTAGCTCAGTATTGGTTGCACTGACTTGTGGCAGTAGCTCTCCAAGGTCTCAGCCTTTCTGGTCTGGATCTGCCAGCTTTCAACAAGCAAAGCAACTGCTCTTCCACTGAACTAAGGCTCCTCCTGTTAAAAGTAACAACCTGAAAGTCTTTCCAAACTGCCAATTGCAATGATGTATATGAAATATGAGTTCTGGGATTTATATGTGCAGAAGTGGCATTGTTCTTTTCATAAGATGACTGCAATGGGAGAGCAATTTCAGTCCAACCAGATGTAGAGGAACATGAAAATACATCATTTAGAATATTAAAGAAAGCCCACATTTGTTTGCCCACTTAACAACGGCTTCTCCTTTGGTTGCGGAGGCCAATTCCTATGCATTCCTAATTCAACCTGGATTTCTATCAATCCCAGACACAACTGTCCAGACCTCAGCTCCAGACAGGAGATCTCATCTGATTGCTCTGACATCTGAGTAATGGGCAGCCAGATTTGAAGTGGCAGCAGGGATTTCAGCAGCTGGCCAGGGCAAGGCTTCAGTCAAAGCCATGACAGCCCATTACAGAACACACCTTCTTCCAGCCTGGGCTGCAGGGATGGAGGAGAAGAACAGACACATCTCAGGAGATTATCGCACAAGCATAAAATCCCAGTTTACCTTTGCTGAATTCAAGTTTAATTCTGACTGGAGCTGGGTCATACTGCATAACTTTCCCCTCCAAAACTACCATCCGAGTACAGTCAGGCTCCAACACGGCTCACTTAATTCACTCCGGTGGCCATTTTTCAAAGTCAGAAGCTTCCAACTTTTGAAAAATGGCCCATGAAGAGAGTTAAATGAGCCATGTTGGAGCCTGGCTGTACTCGGATGGCAATTTTTTTGGGGAAAGCCGTGTGATAGGACCCAGATCCAGCCTGAATTAGACTTGAATTCAGAAGAGGTAAACTGAGATTTTATGCTTGTGTGATAATCTTCTCAGTGTATATCCTCAATTGATTCCATATCACACAGGGTTGGCATTTGTTCTGAAAAACCTGGGAAATCCCAGATTGAAGTGACTAGAAAATGTCTAAGATGGCTGGATCTGTTAAAGCAGTAAATCCTGGATTTCTCCTTTGTCACAGGCCAATGAGTAGGTTAAAATGTAGCAGTGATGAAGCGAGAAACCATACAAGAAGACTGGCCCTGGTGGGAGCATCATCCTGCCCTTCAGGCTCCACTTGCTAGTGCACAGGGGTAGCATTGCCACCTTATTCTTCCATCTCCTCTCCCGTTTCTTCAATAGGCCCAGAAGGCAGGAAAAGAAAGGAAGCAAACAGAAATGGACTTGTGTTGTGTAGTGGGTGTGTTGATGGCTTGAGCCTAAGGCTAGGCAGCATGGTGAAACTTCACTTCCAAACAGCCTCAAGAGAGAAAAAGAAATCCCTTTACACTCTGTGGCTATTTGGAAGCCTCCCTCTCTTCACATTAGCTAGGAGGAAAAAGAAGAAGAAAAGAGCTCTTAGCTTGGTACTGGTATTGAAGTTGAAACATTATGGTAGAAAAAGTGCAATGATTAATATTTTGAATTTGCATAATCAGAATGCAAAATAATATGCATAATTGGAACAATTTGAGTAATATGCAAATTGCCTGGATATGAGGGATTGGAATATGGCAACCCTAATCTCACAGAGTTTTTTTCCCCTATCAGATTTTTTTTAAACTCTGTATTGCCATGATATAAGAAGCAGCACCTTTCTGAAATTCTACCACTCCAAAATCACCATCTACATACTGGGTGCTAAACCAATAGATCCCATCCCAAGTGCTGTAATATTTTAGAGCGGTGGACTGTTTTAAGGAAATGGAAGAGAAGCTTTGGCCTTATGGGTACTTTGGATTTTAATTCCTGGAAATCCCAATCAGCATAGCCTATGGTAAGCAATTGTGGGAGCTGTAAGCAAACCCAAATAAACTCTAAGGCTTCTCTGCTCCTGTTTTAAGGAGTCTCTTAAAACCTTTTTAAGGAGAAAGGTTGAACTCTTGTGTTTTTTGTGCTGGGTTAGAAATGAATGTTTGTGGATAGTCTCATCCAGTAAGTACTCATTCATTCATGTGTAGTGATCAATCACTGAGAAGGTGGCTATGTGTCTTGATTTATAGAGGACAATCCTCTAACCTCTAGCCATAGGACAGTCCTCAGATTCAAACCATCATCAATAAAAGAAAATCTATTTGAATCTGCTCCAGATCCAGTTGGACAAGGAGGAGAGCTACATGGTCCTTGAAGTTGACCTTCTCCAGTTAGCACTTGGAAAGCAGATTAAGCAAGTACACAGGACACCTGACCTCTCCTCCACATCTCCCATGGTGAAATCTTTTCCCATGTTTATTGTTTTATTATTCTAAAGATCTCTAAATTTGCATCTAAGGATATAGATGAGCAGAGTCAACATGGTGTAGTGTCTGAATGTTGGACTTGGACTCTGGAGATTGGAGTTTGATTCCTGGCTCAGCCATGGAAACCCTGGGTGAGCTTGGGCAAGTCACACACTTTCAGCCCCAGAAAACTTGGTGATCAGTTTGCCTAGGGCCACAATAAGTCAGAAATGGTTTGGAGGCACACAACATCAAATAAACATTAGAAAGAACTTCCTGACAGTAGGAACTGTTCGTCAGTAGAATAGGCTGCCTTGGAGTGTGGTGGAGTCTCCTCTGGAGATTTTTAAACAGAGGCTGGGTGGCCATCTGTCGGGGATGCTTTGATTGTGTATTCCTGCATGGCAGGGGTTAGACTGGATGATCTTTGAGGACTCTTCCAACTCTATGATTCTATGAAATATAGATGAGCATGTGCAAGCCTATTCAAACAGGTGTCCTCTTTTTTGGCGATGTGTCAGCAGTCACCCTGTCCACTGCATCAAAGGATGGTTTCCCTGTGTGAATAAACCACCTCATATCTAAATGCATGGCTCTTTTGGCTTCTATGGGGCTATTTTATAAATGAATATTGCAAACACAATCATATTTTTAAAGAATTTACAGCAACCATACAACATCTCCCATAACTGAATACAGCATATCTATCAATTTATGAAAGTTTCATGTAACCAATAAGGCACCTGTGCAATATTTGCTTGCAGAAAAATGTAACATATGAAGATCGATTGTTCCTGAAGGTAAAAAACCTTAAAGCCATAAATAAAAATGTAAGACAGATGCAAATACATGAGGCCACTCATAAATTAATATCCTATTACTAAATTCAAGGTGACATGGACCTAATTCTTACTCCATAACAATCACACTTCCTTTCCTCTCTGGCACCTTCTCTCTTTTTTGAAATTAAAACTTACAAGTACCCATAATTCCTTGAAGATTTCCCCACCCACTGGACCAAAACAATACATAAACAGTACAGAGGGTTTCAATCTCACAGCCCAAGAGGATGCTGCAGGCCCTTCTCAAATATAACATGGTTGCAGTAGAATGAAACCATGGTATTCTTCTCCTGTCTACACATCCTTCTCCCTTCTTCCATACTTGTAATGGGATACCAGACTTTTATCTGATCCCATTTAGAGTCAGCACAGTTCATACTGGATCTTGGCAAAGTTATTTTTTGGACTCCTAAGCATCTGCTTTCATGGGGTGGAGCCAAGCAAGCACCCTCACTTACTAGGGAGCTGGTGGTAATGAAATAGTGAGATGGAGTCTAGATAGTAGATAACTTGGAGGGGGTCAAGATTACATCTACAAGGGGCCAAGATTACATCTACTGGACCTCTATTAACTATAGCATCCAAATCAAAGAGGATCTGAGAAATTTTAATCTGCAAAGTGCTCTGCAATCTCTTCACAAGGGGCTGGCTGAATAGGTTCAGAATCATAGAATCTGATCTTGTGAGACATAATGTAAAAGGCCCCTAATCACTTGAAAAAGCTCCACTGGATAGTACTGTGTGGATGTATTGCTGGCATTGAAGAATTATTCTTTCACTGGCACCATTGCCACTGCATAGGCTTTCCAATGAGCTCTGTTTCAGTCTGGCTTCAGGCCTGGCTATGGGATAGACATAGCTTTGGCCACTTTTGTAGATGACCTCCACAGGGAATTAGACAGGAGGACCAGATGGCCTCCTTTTCCAGGACATTTCAACCTTCTGTCCAGGAGAATTTCAAAATGTCATCCATTTTCAGCATGTCTACAAAGCATGAATTTATATTTATATTAGTGTTTTTAGCTTTTATTTTGTAATGTCCTACATTTTTCTTTAATGCTCTAAATTTTATGGTGCTTTATTCTCCTTTGTGGTTATGACATCTGTCACCCTGAAATCAGAGTGTGCCCTATTGGTTTTGCTGAACCTCTCAGTGGCTTTTGATGCCATCAACCATGGTATTTTGCTGGGCCACTTGTCTAAGATGGGACTCGAGGGCACTGTTTTGCAATGGCCCCTGTCTTTCTTGGAGGAGCAGACTGAGGAGGTGGTGCTGAGTGATGCCTGTTCAGCACCCTGCCACTATCCTGTGGTGTCCATCAGGGCTTGGTTCTGTCCTCCATGCTGTTTAATATTCATATGAAACTGTTGGGAGAGGTCATCCAGAGTTTTGGGTTTAGCGTCACCAGTATGCCAGTGACACACAGCTGTATATCTCCGTTTTCCAACTCCAAGGAAGTTGTTTCTGAGCTAAACCAGTGTTTGCAGACAGTAATGGACTGGATGGGGTTAAAAAAATGAAAATTAATCCAGAGAAGACAGAGGTGTTCCTAGTCTTATTCTGTAAATTAATGTTTTAGTGGCAACTGTTGGGATTATTGTAAATTGCCTTGAATCTTATTTTTGGGAGAAAGGCGGGATATCAATTC